CTTCTGTTGGATCACCAGATTTAAAAATGGGAGTAACATTTGTTGTCTGTCATTGTTGGGATAATTTTACTTATTAAAGCTCATAATCTTACCACTTGAAACATCACTAGCCCTGAAGCTGCTGGTAGACATCGTGGTTGGAATTATCAAAGGTTTTTGACACCTGAGAGACACCGTAGCAACTCCTTTGGAAGCAGGGGGTGGGGGTGGGGGGAGAACCAGGGAGGATGATTCAACCACTAGATGTCGCTGAAAACAACAAATCCTACACACTGTGCCTTTAATTCATCTTCCTCAATTTACTTTATCATATGATCAATAGATTTATTGTTTATTGTGACAGGACTAGTTTCAATATATTTACAGCCGCTCTACAGTTCAGAGTTTACAGTTTATGCAAAACATGGTTCTCTTTAAAAATATGCTTCAGCAAACTGTGCTCTCTTTTTTTTACTTCATATGTTTCTTTTAGCTACAGCTTTGCTACTTTTAGCTTTTTAGCTATGATTGTGCTCATTTTAGCTTGTGTTCGACTCATCAGTTTCAGCTTCTTTAATAAATTCCAGCAGCCATTTGGTGCATTTTAGCAGAAAAYGCGCATTTCTCTTGATGCGTTTTTTTGTTAGGAGAAAATTTCATTTATATGCTGTTTCCAATTTCAGCGGCTGCATCCTTTGTATGTTTTCAGCGTCTTTAGCTTATATTCAGCTGTTTTTACCACTCACGTATTAAAACATTCAACTCATTTATGAGATGGCTGCTTTGAATTCTGCTGAAACCTCTGCTGGCCAAAGGACAAATAAAAAGGAAAAGATGATTATTATTTATATTATTGCATCAAGAAGCCCTCTATAACTGTAGCTGCAGAGATTCGGAGCTTAGGTGGTCCAATCTGAACTCCATAAATCTGGCCTTCTTAGAAGAGTGGCAAAAAAAAAACCACATGATGTCCTGTTTGCTATTTGCTTCAAGTCATTCAGAGGAAGGAACTGGAAGAGACTGGCTTGTTTTGCTGGTTTAATCCAGTTCCAGAYAAGATTTTATCATTCGAACAGCTATTAGGTGACAGACTTTTTTTTTTTTGCGAGTTTGAGAGTTTTTAAGCCCTTATAATGTTTTAAAAAACGTAGCCCTACTTTACCTCCAGTTTTTATTGAGAGTAGATTTTCTATTCACTCTATCCCACCGCCACACACACACACACACACACATTTTTATTTTCTTCTCTCTCCCTCTGAGGTTGCAGCGTGGAAACAATAAATATGCAAATAGAAAGAAATATTCTCCAAACGAGATAAGGAACAATATGCTGTAAAGAAGGCCCGTCTCTATTAAGCAGCAATGGTTGGACAAATTGTGTTTAAGCTGAACGTAATCATTTCCCACAAACACTGCTCAGTAAAAAGCAGATAAATGACAGAGTCTGTGTGTGAGGGACAGTGGGGATGATTGCTTTAGACAATGAGTGGCGAACAATGGATGAACTCACTGCTGATTGTTTCTCTGTTCCTGGTTTAGGGATTTAATCTGCATCTTTATTTAGTTATTAAACTCRGTTCAGGAAAACAAAAAGTGAGTTGCAATAATGCAGTTTTCTAAATAAAAAAAAAACTGAACACATGCACAACTTTAACTAAAGCAGAATTAGTGTATGCTGTATGTTTTATTTATCCTGATTTACATTATTCTAATGAATCAAAACGACACCAGCATGATCATGACTAAATAAATGTCAAAACAAACCCTACAGATTGTAATATTCTTGTTTATATTTTAGTCCGCAGGTTGCAGTCCAAAGGGATCCTGATCCAAATATTTCCTCTACACGATAAGGAAGAGCTAAAAAGACTTTCTTTCTCTTGGTATAAAAAATTCAAGCTGTCTCTTCAGCCTCTTGGTAAGTGGAGGGTGGCTTTTTGAAAATGTATAAAATTAAAATGCACCATCACTTAAATCAATGCACAGTGGTGTATTTTTCTCTTTTCTCTTCCTGAGCCTATAATAATATTTTTACTTTGTTTTATTTGTCCTGAAACAGTCAGTGCTCCTGTTAGCGCTTCATACTTGTATCTTTTTCCAGATGATATCCGACACTACTTTGGTGAGGGCCAGGCTCTTTACTTTGGCTTTCTGGAGTACTTCACCTTTGCCCTGATACCAATGGCCCTGATTGGAGTGCCTTATTATCTGTTTGACTGGGAGGATTATGACAAATATGTGGTCTTTGCTGTTTTCAACGTGATCTGGTGCACAGTTATCCTGGAGGTAGGAAAGTTCCCGTGCTTTTAGATCCCATGTAGTCCACGTTTTAGWTTTGACCACATGTTTTATAATTTTTTTCTTTATTTATAGTTTATTCATGTCCTACTCATGCGGCTGACAAAACGCTGAAAACGTAGGCTGCATATGAGTATCCTGCGTGGCCGACGGTATCCCAGAACTCATTGCACCACCAGCAAATTAAACAGAAAAACAAAGATGGCGAATTTTTTAAAATTTATTTTACTTTAAAGTTAGTTTTTTTGTTTTTTACAGCGGAGGTTGGCAATTTATCACAGACTGAAGAATGTACGTTAGGCAACTTAGCTGAAGAAACTTTTGTTGCAGTGAGAGGTTAAATAAAATGCAGCTACAAGTACTGATACTGGAGCTCAACCAAAATTATTAAAACTTTTTATGTGCCGTATTTACTTGTGACATTTTTCTATTAAAATGGAATTTGTTTATGGAAGATATACCTTGAAAAAACAACTGAAGCGATGTGATATAAAGTATCGTGGTAACGAGGCAGTGTGGTCACGCAAACATACGTCTTCTGTCGGGTAGGGTCTCATTTCACATCTGTTTATGCAGCAACACAAATCATTCAGATGTTCTTTAGAGGAACTGCTGGTGTTTCAGCCTCCTCCAATGAGAGGACAAGCAGAAGCTTGTATTGTTCTGCATAAACAAACACGCCCACTAAATTCTGACCAATCAGACAATGCAAACCGCACTGATCTGCAAGACAGAGGTCTGACTGCGGC